GATCCTCCTGCTTGGCCTTCCGAAGTACTAGGATTTCAGGGTGATCCCCCGTGCCCGGCCCCCATGGCTTCTTGACAAACACACAGAGTTCTGTATCTCCCACCCTGTACCACACAGAACAACCCCATAACAAATGGAGAAAGTATCTGACCTTTGCCCAAGAACATGTACAGAGCCAGATAGGCATGTGACAGACGCTCACCGTCACTCGTCATCGGAGAAACGCACAGTAAGACCCGATGAGAGGCCACCACACACCTGGCAAAATGGCCAAACCCGGAACACTGACAGAACCAGCGGGAGCTCTCATCCTGCCGGTGGGAATGCGAAATGCACGGCTGTTCTGGAGACAGCCCGGTGGTTTCTTACGCAACTAAACACACTCTTACCATCTGACCCAGCGTCCGTGCTCCTTGTATTTCCCCAAAAGAGTTGAAAACTTACGTCTACGCAAAGCCCTGTGCGCAGTCTATACAGCCTTCGTTCGTAATTGCCAAGCTTGGACATAACCAAGAAGCCTTTTCAACCGGTGATGAGTAAACTCACGGTGGCGCATCCGTGGCTGGGCTCTCGGTTCATGCGACAGGGATGACTCCCACAGGCCTTTTGCTGAGCGAGAGGCCAGACCCCAAGGCTGTGTACCGAGTGACCCGTCTGTAGGACGTTCTGAAAAGGCAAAACCACAGGATGGGGAACTGGTCAGGGGCTGCCAGGGCTGGGAAGAGGGGTCTCCCGCAAAGGGATGTGTTTGCTGATGGATCCTCAGCTGATGGTTTTAAGGTACAGACCCATCTCGGGCCACGGCTTCTGCCTGTGGGTAGGATTGGGAGTCCGGTGGGCTGGACACTCACTTCCCTGAACTTCCCTTGGAAAATGGCCGTGTGGGAGCGTGACCCGGCCAGCACCAGAACCGCAGTGTGCTTCCAGTGAGCGCACCGCGTGGACGCTGGGGCGAGAGGGGCGGCCCAGGGCACAGCAGGCCGAAGGAAAGTCCCACAGTCTTGGTGGCAAGCTTAGCATATCGGTAACAACGGAAACAACACGACTCCTCCGTGGTCAGTGAACTAGCTGGTGTAATGCTGCTTTTACAGATAGGAAACCGAGTCTCCGAGAGGGGGACTCATTGGCTTAATGTTGTGGGAAGAGCGTTTTAGTAATCTGTGGTGCAGCAAACCTCTCCACAGTAGTGGCGAAGGCCAGCTTCTTACCCGCCGATTCTGTGGTTAGGAGCTTGGGCGAGGCCAGAATGCACTCATCTGTGTCCCTCGTGGCTGGGGCAGGTGAGGGTGGAATCTGGCACTGTTGCTGGGGACCCTCAGGCCTTCTCCAAGTGGCACGTGCTGGCTGGACAGTGGGGACAGATGGGCGACTCTGCGCACAGCCCGCTGTGTGGCCGCCTGGGCTTGCCACATCTCCATCTGCCGTGGTCTCAGGGTGGTCGATCCTGCTGTGTGGGGGTGGCTCCCGCCAGCTGTGGCACGGCCAGTGCAGAGGCAGGACCTGGCCGGGGAGGCTCTCCCAGGGCTCTCAGGTTGTTGGCTGTCAGTTCTCCAAAGGAGAGACCCGGGAGTCAGCAGAGCGGAGTGGAGGGAGACCCTGCGTACACAGTGTCCTCTTAGCATCTCAGCAGGGAAGCGGAAAAGCCAGCATGTGTTTCAGCGATTTAAGGTGGATGAGGTCCCAAGCACCCACCCACACCCGACCTGGACACCAAAACACCTGGCCGAGGCAGCTCCGTCCGTCAGCGCGTCTCTCCGCAGACAGCTGCGTTGCCCGTCACTGGAGCCTCTCCAGAGACCCACTGACGCCTCCATAGAAAGCCTCAGCTGTTTGCACCCCATGGCTCTTCCAAGTCCTGGTCTTAAGCCCCCTACTGTGCTATGACGTCAGAGTCCTTTCCCGCTGGTCACCCACCCCTGAGCTGCGTCAGGGCCCCACTTTGCCTCCCTCTCGCCCTGTGGCCAGAGCTCCGGGGAGGCCCCGCGTGGGCAGCAGTGGACCCGGCTCTGTGTTGTACACAGGCTGCTGCTGGGGTTCGGGCTGCCAGGCGGGCACTGGGTGGGGTGGGCTGCGTTTCCGGCAGAACGGCCTTCCGCTGGCGGTGGTGGAGTGGCCACGATGACCCAGCTGGATGTCTTAGGCCATTCCCAGCCTTCCCCAGAAGCAGGTAGCCCTGCAGCTGCAGGGCGAGTTTGCCGGCTCATGTGGCCCCGGAGTCTGGGGGCTTCTCTCCTCCTGGGGGGGCCTGAACTACACAGGAGTCTAGAAGACCCGGGCCTCTGTGCTGTCACGGATGTGAATGCGTGTGCCCCGGTAAAGGGGGTTCGTCTGGCCACGAAGGAAACCACCTTGACCCGCAAAGCAGACGTCACTTTGGAGACCCACAGAGCACGGCTCACGCAAGCGCTTGGTAGAAATGATTTTATTTAGAAATTGGTACCGCGTGACATCAGGGACATGCAAACGGTCGTGCTGAAGCCCAAGCCTGGTCACTTCCCCACGAAAACGATTCATTACAACTGAAATGCGGACGCGTGCTGGGCACTGTCTTTGCTAGATACAAAATCTGAAAATGTGGGGGTTGATCAGGAGAACATCATCCTCACGTAAAAGCCTAAAACAATGATTGCTTTGCATACCAGGACGCTGTTCCTCCTCTATTCCATTTAAGCAGGACCTAGATGTCTCCGATGAGTTTATGTGGGAAAACACATCTTGACATTAAAAATTAAGCGTTTTGTCACAAGAGTTTTCCTAGGAACACCACTAGCTGGTCGCTCTAAAGAATCACTAATTCTAAAACTCAAAAATCCTGGGTCTTGCCGTAATTTGCTCTGTGAGAGCTGGAGCCTGGGATGAGCCCTGGGCTCCTCATCCCTGCCCGGGAGCCCAGCTTGGGCACCAGCCGCCCCTGGCAGAGGGGCTCCCCCCACCCCCAGCGAGAGCGCAACACCAGCTGTTTGGAGGCTGAGCCCTGGGGAGGGGCTTGGCGCCACCAGTGCGCGGCTGCCTGTCCTTGGTTTGGCGAAGCTTGAGTGACGAGTGACGCGCTGAGCACGCGGGTGCAGTGGGCGCGGGGCCAGGGCGCAGCGACACAGTGGGCACGGTGGGCGCGGGGGCCAGGGCGCAGCGGGCGCAGGGACACAGTGGGTGCGGTGGGCACTGGGGTCGGAGCGCTGGTGCTGGAGGCAGATGGGCAGCAGCGGGACGCGGCATCTCTGCTTTGGAGCTGACTTGTGTTCTGCGGCCTCTGCGGGGGACCCACCTCACCTGAGCGGTTCCACGCAGGGAGGGACCCGGCCCAAGGCGCTGACCGCTGCAGGAGGCCTGGCTGGGGAGGCCACTTTCCGCCCCTACGTGAGCCCCCAGGGGTCAGCGCCTGGCAGTGGGGTGTGAACCCAGGCAGGGGCCCAGGCGGAAGGTTTCGGAGCCCCTGGAGCCGCTCTCGGATGCGGTTCCGAGGGCCAAGCCTCCTCAGTGAGCAGACAGGCCAGACTCCGAAAGCAGCTTCTCAGTGAGCAGGTGCATTTGGCGTCTGCTCGGCGGGGCGGCGCTGTCTCTTTGAAGGGGTCACTATGAGAGGTATAGACAAATACAACGTTCTCGGGAAGTCTACTTTCTCTATTTTCATCTTTAAGGTTAATTTTTTAATTCTAGCAGAAACACGCAAGCCCTCAGGGCTCTGGTGCCCGCGCTGGCTCCGTCTCCTGGGAGGAGACCGCCGGCCCCACCGTGGGGCCCCCACCTGCGGGTCCCCCAGCCGGGAGCAGCCTCACTAACACTGCAGCCTCCGGCCCTGGGTGCGCCCTCTGCCTCCAGCCGCCTCCTGGCAGGTCCGGCGTGTCTGGAATTCCACACCCAGCCGTGAGCTCGCTCACTGGAACGTGGCTTTCATCCTCCGCAGCTTGTCCTGGATCTTGCGCGAGTGTTTCTCACTGGAGACCGGGTGGAAGTTGGCCCTGCTGTCCGCGGCTAAGGTGGAGATGTCGGCTCCGCTGAAACGCGCGATCCTTTGCTTGAGGTACGACTGGAGCTTGGGGTCGGGGCTGAAGGTGTAGGGGTTTTCCTGGAAGGCGTGCACCTGGCTCACCACCTTGGCTATGTTTCTTTGGGGGAGAGAAAAAGACACGAGTTTGCCGCGTAGAAGGAGCAGCCTGTGGCAAGTGAGTTCTGGGCATGTCCTCAAAGCGCAAAAACTGAAGGGTGGGTTTTCTGCATGTGTTCACAAGACCGAACCTCATTTCAGTGCCTTTTATCTGTCTGTCTGTCCGTCCGTCCACTCACTTCTCAGTCCATGAATGTTTATTGAAAACCTGCTGTGTCCGGCTCTGGCTGGGGCCGAGGGTTCCAAAAGGGATTCCTGGTGTCAGGGCCTGGCAGACAGGGGAGTCAGCGTGGCACATGCGGCGTGAGCTGGGCTCCCACATGCCACGGTGGGGCGTTCACACCCTGGGAGTCAGCGTGGCACAAGCGGCGTGAGCTGGGCTCCCACGTGCCACAGTGTGGCACTCACACCCTGGGAGTCAGCGTGGCACATGCGGCGTGAGCTGGGCTCCCACGTGCCACAGTGTGGCACTCACACCTTGGGAGTCAGCGTGGCACATGCGGCGTGAGCTGGGCTCCCACATGCCACAGTGGGGCGTCCACACCCTGGGAGTCAGCGTGGCACATGCGGGGTGAGCTGGGCTCCCACGTGCCACAGTGTGGCACTCACACCCTGGGAGTCAGCGTGGCACATGCGGCGTGAGCTGGGCTCCCACGTGCCCCACTGTGGTGCTCGCACCCTGGGCATCAGTAAACGCTATGAACCAGGCTTGTTTTCCTGGAGAACTGGCTGTTACAGGGTGACCAGCACACCGCAGGGTGTAATCCCAAACATGGGGAACTCGGAACCAGGTGCCCTTGATTCTGCCCAGGGAGCTGCTGACCCCACAGACACTCCCGGTGCGATGTTGGATGAAGAAATAGTACGTCCAGTGTGAGTGAGGTCGTTTTTGTCGATCGGAGGACAAGCGTCAGTATGCTCTCTGTCTCACACACACAGCGTCCGGAAGAGCAAACACTAACTGTTAGCCCATATTCTTTCCAGATCGTGGCGTTAACTGAAGTTTTCCATTCCCTTTTTGTTGACGTGGGTTTCCTGGTCTCTTACGATAAGCAGACATCTGTGGTATATCGTAAATGGTTTTTTAAAATTGGTGATCATGTAAGAAGGGGGTTTGCACTGAGCAGGTTAGGCACTGCGTCTGCCCTGGGAGGAGTGAGCGGCTGGCCAGGGCCTGACCTGGGGCGGATGGCAGAGAAAGGTGAGGGGAGACGCAGGGTGGGGGGTCGTGGGGTGAGGGAGGAGAGCTGTGGGCTGCAGGCCTCTGAGGGGCCCCTCGGACACAGGCTGGGCCCTCTGTGGCCTGGGCTGTGCCAGCCTCTGGGGTGGTGGTGGTGGGTTTTACAACCAGCCCCTGGTCTGTGCCCTCCGGGCAGTGTGCAGGGTGGCTGGGCCCCAGGTGCCCTGGGCAGGTGAACAGTGGGACTGGGGAACAGGCTGAGGCCTGACCGCGGGTCCTAAGTGTATGTCTCCAGGGAGGGGCCCGAGGGGGTGGGTGAGCCAGACGGTGTGTGCCCAGGGGTGGCGGCTGCAACCTGGGTGGCCTCTGTGCTGCAGATGAGGGGGTGGGGTGGGGTGGGGGGAAGGTGTGCCTAGATCCCCAGATGGGGGTCACCACAGGCCCTGGGAGCATTTTGAGGCCGTAGTTATGCACCGTCTGCAGAGAAGGAGATGACTGCGGCAAGGCGAGCACTGAGGCCCCTGGCAGTGAGGGGGAGTTGAGGGGCCAGCCTCTGCAGAGCAGGGACAGGAGGAGACATGTCACCTGAGCCCAGGTGTGTCGTCATGCTGGGTCCCCTTCACCTGAGCCCAGGTGTGTCGTCATGGTGGGTCCCCCTCACCCGAGCCCAGGTGTGTGGTCATGCTGGGTCCCCCTCACCTGAGTCCCCCAGGCCCGTGGTCGTGCTGGGTCCCTCCTCACCTGAGCTTGCCCCACCTGTGGGCCCCGTTGGTCATGGTGAAGCCCCCTGTCTCCAGCTGCTGGATGTGCATGGCCAGGAGGCGGGCCGAGGGCAGGGTGGGCTGGGCCCGGAAGCGCCGCCCCTCCATCAGACACAGGCTGTCGCTCTTCAGGAAGACCTGGCAGCCCGGCGGGGCGGAGGCAGGGGAGAGATGGGGCCGTCAGGCCAAGAGGCTCAGGCGGGGGCCAGCTCAGCCCAGCCAGTGCCGGGTGATGCCTGCATGCTCCGTGCACAGGGCCTGCACAGACTCTGCTTTAGCGCCCAGTCCAGAATGCGCCTTGCGCTATTGGATCGTGGGTTGAAAGTCCCTGGGTCCTAAGCTTGCAGGGACAAGAAGAGCACCGACAGCCACCAGAGCTTTTCACCCCGTGGTGCGGAAATGGCGAAACCCTCTCCTTGCTCTGCAGGGCTCCTGGGATAAGACCCGGGCGGACGGCGGAAGGGGCCCTGCACCTGTGTGTCCAGGGAGGACGTGCACGAGCTCCCCCCGCCCATAGAGAGCTGAGGCTGGGCTCTGAGCTCCAGGACTGGGACAGGCCGTGCCTGCTCCGTGGCTCCCACTGCCTCATTTTGGGAAATGCCTGACTGCTGCAAGCAGCATCTCCTTGTTATCTCCTGGGGAGGCCTCTGTCCATCTGCCGAGCTCAGGCCCCAGCCACAGGTCTCGGTCCCGTCCTCCGGGTACCTGTCGCCTGTGCAGGGCAGTCGGGCCAGCGCACCCCAGCAGGCAGCACTTTTGCCCAGGTGGGTGGCAGAGGCCCGCAGGAGATGGCTGGAGGGTTCCCGGGTCTGGGGTGCTGCGACCCAGGCAGGCCGTAAGGAGAGGCCCCAGGTGGGCGCCGAGCGCTAGTACCTCCACGGCTTTCAGCTCCTCCAGGATCTCTGCCATCTTTGCAGGGAGAATTCTCCAGGCCTGAAACGAAGGCACAGGTGAGACGCCCACGGCCTTGCGGTGCTCACACCCACGCCCGCGAGGCCCGAGGTGGACGCACAGGGGACTGCCTCACGGCCAGGTGCTCCAGCCCACCCAGGATCTGCATGGCCGTCGCAAAGTTCCTCTGCTCGTAGCAAGATTTCGCAATCAGCAAAAATTTGGACAGCAAGTTCACTTGCAGCTGAAACGAGAAAATGACACGTCCATTGTCTTCTGGTTTAAGGCAAACAAAAGGAGAACGCTTGGGAACCTGTTAAAATAACCCAGCTTCAGGGCACAGAAGAGTGGGCTATGCCACGGGGCTGGCGTCGGGGTGGGCATTACCGGAAACACAACAAAGCAAAAGGCAATGCCTGATGAGCAGAAATATTTGAGAAGAGGTCCAGCCTCACTTCTCAAAAGCAAAGTCGAGCCAGGACAGACCTCCCCAGCTTCCCAGTTGAACTAGGAGTGGACCAGTGGGAAGGGCGCCCCCACCCAGGAAGACGCGTCCCAGGCAGGTGGGAGCCCGGTGGGCAGCTCCTCATCGTCCACCGGTGGAGTCCGCTGCAGGGGGTGTCTGTGCCGTCCAGGATGTGGTCCCTTGAGAGCGGACACTTCCTCTGGGGCTCCTTGGCTGGCAGTGACAAGTTTGCTGGACTTTTTTTTTTTTGAGACAGAGTCTCACTGTGTTGCCCAGGCTAGAGTGCAGTGGCGTCAGCCTAGCTCACAGCAACCTCAAACTCCTGGGCTCAAGCGATCCTCCTGCCTCAGCCTCCCGAGTAGCTGGGACTACAGGCATGTGCCACCATGCCCGGCTAATTTTTTCTATGTATTTTTAGTTGTCTGGCTAATTTCTTTCTATTTTTAGTAGACATGGGGGTCTCGCTCTTGCTCAGGCTGGTCTCGAACTCCTGACCTCGAGCAATCCTCCCACCTCGGCCTCCCAGAGTGCTAGGATTACAGGTGTGAGCCATCACGCCTGGCCTAGTTTGCTGGATTTGATGGGACCACCCTGTGGGCGGCACATGCCACACCTGGTGGGATTCTCATTCCTTTCAGAGCAGTTCTAAGGGGCTTTCTTGAAGATTCTGGAGAACTCAGCTGGCCTTCATTCCAGAGCTGCCTGAGGAACATCACCAGGGCCTAGGCCATCCTTCCGGGGAGAACAGACTGCGGGTTCCAATGGACGCACCTCCAGGGGCTTGACTTCTGTGTGCGGATGGAGGCGACCCCCCAGGCTGTTCGGCTATGGCCTCCAACTGTCTGTCTTGAGTGCCTCTAATAGAATCTTGAAAAACATGTACCGCTCACACTTTTAAAGTTGACATCTCAATTTTTTTCTTTGTAGATTTAAATAGATGCAAAGTGTGTAATTTTCAGATAGAACTGTTCTATCGCTTTTCTCTTATTTTTAAAATTTTTAGTTGTAAAAAATACAGAATATACAATTTACTCTGGTAACCATATTTAGGTGTGCAGGTTAGTAGTGTTAACATTCACATTGTCGCACAACCAATCGCTAGAACTTTTTCATCTTGCAAAACTGAAACTCTGTCCTCACTAAACACTGACTCCTCTCCCGCTCCCCCACCCTGCACCCTCTTCCACTTTCTGTCTCTGAGTTTGACTCCTCCGGGGTCCCTGTGCAAATGGACTCAGGCAGTATTTGTGGTTCGTGACCGGCTCATCCACGGGGCGTCGCGCCCTCCGCGTTCTCCCACGCTGTGGCTTGTGTCGGAATCTCCTTTTTGCCCTTCAAGATTGTTCCACTGAATTTTATTTTTCAAAAAATTTACTTTGCATTATTGTATGTAAGTAATCACTTGTCAGTGTTCCAGATGTATCTCAGCTAAAACTAGTGAATGCCCTAACTTGGACGGTTTCTGAAGCCTATACATTTGGTATTGTTTGGCCCTTAAGCTTTTACATCTCTTGGCACGGAGGACGAAGAAAGGTGTACGTCGTTGCTTGGGAATCTGTACATTTAGACCAGATGTGTATTTGCACTGTCAGTATGGCAAATGAATGAAAAAATGTTAATACACTATTGGGTTTTTTATTTCTTTTTTTTTTTTTTGATTCAGCTTATACCAGGGCTGAAAACCTCAATTTATGTTCATGACAGTGGGGATTTTTTTTAAATGTCTACATTCTTTCTAATAAA